AATGAATAGTGGGATTGATCATCACATTATAACGTCCCCATGGCTGAAAGGGTGAGAATGTTTGATTTGAACCTGTGACCCACAGATTGCGAGTCGAGCACCCTAACCACCTGGCCATGCGGCCTGATTAATAGGAAAACTTTCGAATTAAAAATAAATATGCATGTAGATGTGTTACATACTTATAGAAAACTGTTTCAATGTAAAATATCTGATTACTTAAGAAAACATCTCAGGAGTACTGTTTTTGTGGGACAGCTGTACATATAAAACACACTTTGGCATATTCATTATTAAATGTAAGTTTGAAATCAAATTGGCTTCTAAATTTCATACTCTAATGCAAACCCTTAGAAAAAAAAGTTATTTATTAACATTATTTATAAATGAATCATTTGTTTCAATTCACTTAGACATGTTTCATAAGACGGTACACTTACCTACAATTCCCATGGTTAATGGATCAATGTCACTTACCATTCTCATGCTTGAACCTTGTACACAAATAGACCATCATTACAATTAATAACCTGGGGGTATACATACATTTTAAAGATCATGCAAATACACAGATTATATACCTTACATGTCTGGTCCAATGAACAGGTTGCAACTCGTGCTTGGATTCCTCCACATCCAACATGAACATCAGTAACAGACATTGCATGATTAGACCAAAAATAACGAGGTTCTATTCGACTTTGTCCTCCACCAATAATAGTCTCATCATTAATTAGTACCCTAAGAACAAAATAAAACACTTTAACTAACTTTGATATAGCTAAACTTTTTTCATAACACAAACATGTTACCTACATACTTATATATCTCAATGTTTATATTTAAGTATAAGTTAAGAGTATGAACAGCATATGAAGCTCTCTGTATATAAGTGGGAATAGCAGAGATTAATCTCAGATATGTTTGGGAAGGTATCTATACTTCTGAAACATTTTGAACATCTTTTGAGCAAAATGACAATGACAATTTTCTGTCATACAAAAGTTATTAATTTCCTACACTAAAAATATATTTCTAATAGGTACTTACCTTCTCTCACATTATAGTTTTTTCTCATTCAGTGCTACCCTCTATATGGAAAATGTTTTGCTCGTCACATGTCTTGAAACTCCCAGCTCCTCCACCAAAAGGAGCGTGACACACTCTCCTGATGCAGGTTATTCCCTATATTCGATTTTACTTAACAATCACTTCGAGATTAGGCAGAAAAACAAAGCACCAGTAGTGGGGAGGAAGGGTGGTAAGTGTTAGTGGAGATAAGTATTTATCAGAAATATATTTTCAGTGTAGGAAAATAATAACTTCTGACACGCTACCTTATCTCTTCTCACATAATAGCTCGAATTCCATAGTTGAAAGGTGGAGGGACTGGTGCGAGGGATATAGATGAGGATCCCTCAAAAGCGTTCAAAGAACACCCATGGAGAGTGACCTCCACTAGGAGAGGAACATCCACGGGAGACTATACCACTTCTGTACCCGGTATACTCTTTGCCCAGTGTGGTAGTATTTGTCTCATAATTGGGTGGAAATCATGAGAGGCACATCTATGATTGGATAGAAAAGATAGTTAATCCAGCCCTACATCCCACAGAAATCTCAACCCCAGAGATGAATGTGTGCAGGGTCCCCAACTACAGAAATAATGGTAGGAAAAGCTAAAACAGATGCATCCCATAGTGTAGAATGGCTAGGACAATTCAAACCATACCCAGCAGGTCAACTCCAGTCCAAAACCAGATGGCATTAGGTATGTATTGTCCGTCCCATGGTAGGAAAAAGGGGCCACACTCACCTTAAGTGTACGAGACAGAAGGGAAAAATTTTGTACTGTCTGACTAAACAGGGCACATGTGGGCAAATCCACAAGCAATGCCAGCGTTTCGGGTTCCAGACATCCAAACGACACTAAGAAGGGACATGCTAGTGTGGCAATTCATCAAATCCAAGACCAATCACACCAGTTCTACTCCATGCAACATCATCCTCCGAGTTTGAGCCTCACAGAGGTGGAAGGACTACACCTGCTCAGTGCAAGTAGCAGAACCATATGACAGTGGTAGGACAAGGAATCCCTACCAATATGTGTGAGAACTTATTTTGGTTGGTCCAGCCCTAATACAAAACCACTCTCTGGGAACTAACATCTAGTTGTTGGTAGGATGAGGGATCCCAATCAGAGGGGGGAACTGCATTGTGGCAAATCAATGTTATCTACACCTGCAGAACACCACTGCTTTACTCTCAACTGAATGGAATTGAGCATTCAGGAGGTGGCCTCCATGATCCATCACCCCAACAGCTAGGAACTAGGAAGTGGTAAGGACTCCCTTTCTCCACAAGAAGAAGAAGGATAAATGTGTTGGGGAGCCCAGAAAAATGCTGACACTTGAGAAAGTGCACTGGGTGACTATGAAGTCTTTATTTTGAAAAGCAGACCATTCTCAATTTATTCAATCAAAGGGACAGCAAGGATGTGCAGCTATCCATTTCTGTTTTATTCATAATAATCCAGGAGTGAGTACAATCTGAAACAGGCAAAACACTGCAATGAAAACCTACAAGCAGTCTTATGTAACACTCCCATCTTAACAGTGTGCATTATTGGCCATGGGTGTACATCAAGATTGGTGGGTTTACCCTCAGCTCAAGTAAATTTGGTAGGACATCCCAACCAACCTTTACCATGCAACAACATCCCCTTGGGCCCAACCTCACGGAGGTAGTGTGCTTGGAGTAGCAGAGTACACACTACACAATATTAACCACTTTACACAACCCCACAGAGTCACAACATTCAAGCAACAATAGAAGAAGTGGAGCATGGAATTGTTATGCATTCACCCCCCCTCATGCAACATCACTCCCCAGAGCCAAATACAAGAAGTCAGAGCGTATGGGGTACATGTGTACCCCCTGCAAAACCATCCCCTGAATAGAACACCACAGAAGCTGGAGTGCATGGATTATCAGCCAATGGCAATCACAATCTCAGTCCCTTGGGAAAATAGAGCTGGGTCCATGCAATATCAACCCCTGGGTCCCACTGCACAGAGGTGGAGTGCTTGGGCCACCAGGTGGTAGATAATATACCCTGGTATGACTTATGGTAGGTCACACAATGCAGAATTTTGTGACTGATAAGTCATAAGTAGACCTGGACAGACAACACTTGCCACTGAGTGGGATCAGTGACCTAATAAAGACATGCCTCTGAAAGAAAAAAGTAAAACCAAACTTACCGAGTAACAGTTGAACCAATGTTTGAAGTATGGTGACAGGAGGAAGATAGTACCTGGATAAGTAAGAAACAGCCACACAATGAAGGTAGTGGGAGATGAACATATGAGGGGTAGTCCACATGCCTGACCAAAGAATCTCTTCCAAAGGGCAACCTGGAAGAAGTAGACAGGGAGGATTACGCCAGACTGATAAGTTGACAAACCTTGCCTGTCATGGTAGAAGGGAAAGATCATGCTGTGAGGAAAGATTTCAGTGAATGAAAAGGCAGGATTGGGAACCACGAAAGGAAGTTGTATGAGTAATATAACAATGAAGAGCACAAATAGGACACAAAAAACTATCCGGAACTGGCCGAGAATAGAGGTGGGAAATAGAGGGAAGGGAAAATGGCTGAAACAACAAATGCTCCTCATAAGCCACTGAAGTTTTGGGCAGAAATTATCCCCCACAGGAAAGCCACTAGAACTGTTGGCAGTGATGGGTATGATGGTGCAAACTTCCTCACTCAAGGACCATAAAAAGAGAAAACAGGCAAGAGGTGGAAGCTGGAATGGATTGAGACAAACAAGCAATCAAAGAAGGGTTGAGTGTTGTCTCTCAGATTCCACACACAACACTAAAGAGTCAGGGATATCTCCAAAAATATATCCATGCAGGAAGGGGTCCATCCACTGGTTGTGTACATAAGTGGATGGCAGGCACACCTGAGACAAATGAACATCCCCTCCCAGGAGAACCTGGTAGTAAAAAAGCCACGTGTGAAGGGATAGGACAGAAAAGGACAATCACACCAATGTGGAGGAAATTACAGCATGGGTATCCTCTTAAAACCCCTCAGGGGAATGGTAGATAGCCTCAAAAAAAGAAGGTGGTTGGATGAAAGATACCAAAGGAGAAAAGTAAAGGTAACACACATGAGGGAAACGGGGGCTGGGGAAGCTCATAGAACTTTCAGGGTCAGCCGCCCACACAGGCAGAAGAAACTCAAGCTGCTAAGGAAAATCAGTCTGACCATAAGCCAAGTCATAATCATTTTAAGCCCATGGGGGTCAGAGCATGCTGGTCCCTGCACTCAATTACAACAGAAAATGATCAGAAAGGATCCTGACACCTGGAGAAGAAGGGAAAAACAAAGTACTTGGACGATATGGTGGCATGTAACAGGGAAAAGGTATGACATGAAACTGGGGATACAGATAAAAAGTAACATACCTGATAAATCAAATTTAGAAAAATAGAGGGGGGCCTGGCTGATTCCTCAGGTGAGGCATGGACTTGCACAGTAGAGGGTGGAGGAAACAGGCTGTAGAAATCGTCACTGTCAGGAATGGGTTCCACTGGCACTGGAAGTTCCTTGCCAGGGTCGAGAAATAAGGGATGACCCATCCAAAATTCAATCTTCTGATGAATGAAAGCTGAGACATCCTCAACCAAGACCCCTGTACCCAAAGTCTGTGCCACAACATTCGAAGTAGTAATTACAGTAGCAGAAGTTGCAACACGATATTCAGAATCAAAGAAAAAAGTTTCAAAAAAATGTAAAATCAAAGGAAAAAACAAGGTAAGTTAACTTATAATAAACTACAGTTAACAAAGAGCTATAAAAACTGGAGAGCACTACTTCAAAAAAGAATGTATTGCATAAATTAACATGAAAATTTAAAATGTCTGAACTCAACTACTGCTTGACAAAGAAGTGATGGTTGGGCAAAATCAAATACAGGGAGTAACTTGCATCAGAAGAGCGTGTCACACTCCTATTGGTGGAGGGTTGTTGAATGATAATTTACATGCAAAGATGCAGTCAACCACATAGATCGTAGGGTTATGGAAGTTTACAGGCTAGTGGCAAGTGAAAAAATTTTCCATATAGAGAACAAAATGAGTTTTATAATGAAGGTAATTACATTATCTATTTTATATGCACCTTCAAAAATTCATTGCAGGTTGAATAATTACATAAAATGGTTATACGTTCGAATCGATAAATACATAAAATTTGTATGAAATAGAATATTCTACCTAGATAGTGCCCAGACAAGAACTAAACCATCTTCTCCAGCTGACAAAAAATGGGATCCATCATCAGTGAAACGCACACATGTAACATTCTGGTAATGTCTTGAAAGAACTACTAAAAGGTTTCCAGTTGAAATCTAAAAATATTAATCAACAATTAAATCTTATAGTATTCATCATAATCATTATTTACAATAGGAACACTAAATTTTGGTTCATGTCTGACTATTGACACTATATCAAAAGTCAAGAACTTTTACTACTACTACTGTTTTCATTAAATAAAAAATCAAATCATCTCGTATTAGCATCAATTCAACTATAAAACTAGAATGTACCAATATTAATCTATATGAAATACAGAATATCAAAATCATATATTGTCAGTTTACTTGTAAAACTAAAAGTTAACATTTTCTTAAATCAAAAATGTAATTCTAATAATACTTACTTCTTCTCACACTGATAGCTATTACTCTACTGCCAAGGTTTCTTCCTTTGACCATTTAAGCATTAGTATGATTTTTCTCACTTCCTTCAGTGTTTTATACCTCATTCAATTGCCCTTGGTGATATATATATCTTTAGTGAACCTCTCCACCTATATCAATGCGCCCACAATACTAGTACTTAACTCTCTCAACAGAGGCTAGGTCAGTTTGACCAACCACATGACTTTTTTGTACTCGTTTAAAGTATTTATAGATTTGATACTTCTAACCTTCAATATACTTTATATCTTCTCCAAATTCAGCAGTCTTTAAGTTAGTATTAGATCTTTCACATACAAAAAATCATATTTTTAAGTGAAGTATTTGTAATAAAATAAAATAAAGATTTGTCCATGAATATATT